TCTCTCTCTCTCTCTCTCTCTCTCCCCCTCTCTCCCCCTCTCTCTTTTTCTCTTTCTTCAGATCCCCCTCTTGTACCCTTCCCATCCTTCCCCCTTGGGAAAAGAAGAAATCTCGCCGATGTATTACACTGGTGATATCGTGCCTCATGTGGTCCTGCTCCTCTCTCCCACCGCGTTATAGTGGGAACAAGATGGAGTTCCTGTGGGTTCTCCAGCTCCGGCTCGGTCCGGTCCGCCCGGTCCGGGGCGGGCCGGCGGGCCGCAGGCCATGTGGATCACATATGTATTCATGGGTACGCCCTGAGCGAGATAGTGTGTGTGTGTTGGGTGGGCGGGGGTAAAAGGGGGGCGCGGGGGGCTTGGAATGCCTCTAGGTCTCACTGATGAGACCCCCTCCAGACTTGGATTATGCAAGACTCGGAGCAGCTCGAGACTCGACTCGACCAGGGGGTTGCGCCCGCCTCCGCCCCCCCCCCCCTCCCTCTCTCTCTCGCTCAGAGAAATGCACGGGCTCAACCGGAGCGGTCGGGGTCAGAGATGGAGTTGTCAGCGAGAGATGGAGAAATTCCGGGCGGGCCGCGCTGTTGGACGTGCGGCGGTCAGACTTTGACACCGAGGGGGGTCCGGTCGGGGTGGAGGGATGGAGGGGGACTGTATTTTGGTATGGTTGTGGTGCGGCCGGGGGACGACAGCGCCACACGTTTGCCCCGGCGGCGGGGAGCCGAGTCGGGACGGTATAATTTAGTGGGACATTTGTGGGGCCGGCGGAATAAGCGAAGCGAGGGGGGTGGGCGGGCCGCCCCTGCTACTCCTCCTGCAAGTGCGCGACACTGTAGGGCAGCTGCAGGACACGGGGAGTCCTGCAATAAGATGAAGCGGTGCCAACAATTTTTGTTTTACTTGCCGATAAAAAAAAAGTCATCATCAAGCACATTTCTCGCGGGGACGAAAGATTTTTTCCCGAGCACGTCAGCCCTATACAAAGTGTAACAGATATCTCCTCCGCAAAAATGATGGGGTTGAAAACCGCAACACACCGTGAGAGTTGCCCTTTTCGAAGCGGGGAGGTGTCAATTTTACTTCTCACGTGTTCGATAAAGGATAGGTCGAAGACCAGCCAGCGTCTGAGTGAGTCCGACTTCCGACTGCCTCGGCACGGCCACGGCGCGCGCTCCGCCTCTCTCCTCTCTTACTCTCTTGTGTGTCCGGCTGCTGCCCGCGGGGGTGTCGGGGGCGGGGTGGGGCGGGGCGGGCGTATCGATCAGTGCACTGGCGGGGCGCGTGTGCAGGACGCAGGCCGGTCATTGCATCGCCAGGCTTATGGACACGACATGGGCGGGCGGCACGCGGCCATAGGGCTGTCATTGGTTGCCTACATACAGGCGTGGGTGGTGTGGCCAGAAAGGCATACCTCAAAGGCGGCTCAGAAGACAGTACCGCGCCTGCTCAGCACTGAACGGAAACGGAAACCGAACGCCCGCGACTGCGGGAGAGCAGACTGCAGTAGCTTGAGGCGAACGCGTCCGACTTCCGCCACACTGTGTTGTAGCGCTGCGCGAGGTTTGGCGGGAGTTTGTTTGTCCCGGCTGCGCCGCCGGGCTGCGCTGCGGTGCCGGCGGGATGGACACACTTGTTTGTCCCTCTGTCTCTCTCCAAAGAAAGCAGACCCCTCCCTCCCGGCCACCGCGCCCGCTCCGCCGCGGGCCGCTGCAGGCTGCAATCTGACCAAGCAGCCAGCAGCCGGAGCGCGCCCTTGCTTTGCAGAGGGCGCATCAGAGGCGGGGCGGGGCGGGGCGGGGCGCGCTC